GACATGTAATTTTGAGACATATAATGAGACAGCTACTGCGCCTTTTGTCACCTACGATGGCTTCAACAGCGGTGCCCGCCGTCTTGGCACCACTTTTTTTTAATAAAAATTTCGTGTAATATTTAGAGACGGCCGCTTTATCGCTGCCACTTCACTACAGCGTGCCTCTTCAAAAAGAGATATTTGGAAACAGTGATCCTGGTGAGGTTCCGCAGTTCTTGGCTAGAAGCGCGCTAGAGTCTACAAAAGTGATGATTTTGCGTTGCCCGGGACCGGGTTTTTGCTACTGGTTTGCCCCAGCTACACACTAAAACATTTCACACCTTTAAATGGCTACACCGTTTTAGCACCCTTTTTTCCAGCAATACGTCATCTTACTTGCGAAATGAATTTTCTCGCATAGAACACAGTTCATATTCTCAGTTCGTAAAGAAGACGTGGAAAGGGTTTCTACGGTGAAGTAAGACGAGCACCCTTTTTGAAGGGTGTTCACCAAATTAACATCTGAATCAAAAAGCTTCAGCAGAGCTTGCTTCAAGTGTTATGTCGAATAATCTTTTCAAAAGCTAATGCGTTTCCTTTGAAGCTACATTTGTTGATGTTGCATATATAATTTTGTTGCTAAATATCGTTAGGGGAGAGTTTAAAGAAAATGATTATAATAGGTGATTTACAGAGAAGAGTGGTTGTGTTCCTAAAGTGGCAAGTCTCGTACGGAATTTTCTGTTTTCTTCCCTTGATTTTTGTGTGTGTATGACTCCATTCGTCTTGTTTAGTGGACGAGAAAGCACTCCTTGAAAATATACAGAATTTAACAGCCTCACCCACCCCACCCAACCTCCCTTCCCCCCCCCCCCCCCCAAAAAAAAAAAAAAGAAAAAAAGAAAAGAAGTGAACGGCCTTCTGCTCATTTATTTCCAGCGGATGTAGAATTTCGATTGGTCGGTTGATAACCTTACCACACGACCATTTCTCTAACTAGTCCTCACTTTGCTGTTTTGTCTTGTAAATGTTCGTGTATTAATGCAAATTTTTCAACACTGGCTGGGAAGAAAGCGTTTAAAAACTCAGATAAACATTTCCTCCTTTGAGGTCACGTGATACGATGGGCGAGAATGATGAAGCCATGGTAATTGGTTTAGACATTCTCTCTTCCATTTCCTGCAAAAGTGACCAGTGACTTTTCGGCTGTGTTTGCACAGCATTTGCAAGTCAACATAGAATTTAGAGCGCTGGGAGCTGGACTATCAGACAGCGTGGTCAGTCGCTTTCTTATGAGCAAGTGGGCTGGAGTGAGGGGGTTGATTCTGAAACCTTTTCAAATAGGAAGCTCAAAGATCAGGAGTAGATTACATGTTCGATTCCAGTCTATATTGCGATCAACTTCTCGAGTCTCAAATAATTATATTCCAACTTATTTAAAAAGCTGTGCAGCCTTTTCCACTATAAAGCGACATTCGATGCGAATGATCGCAAGCATAGCTGCAACTCCCTTAACTTGATATGTCATTGCGTAGTTATATGAGTTCACGGTTTGCTCGGTAGAATGCTTGAGCGCTAGGTGCCATTATTACAACTTATTACACTACGATTGGACAACTTCTGAATTTAGAATGAATGTTTCTGTCTTGAAATCACTTACAAGTCTTAAATCTACAGCCTTAGCAACAGCACACGGAATAACCAGAATGTAGCACTCGTTAACTCTGGCGTAGTCCTTAAAGTCGATGAAGGGTGGCGTTGTTGCCGTATTTATCTTGGTCTCGGCAGACGTCAGCGGCCCAGATTTGGGCTGTGAGTTTCCCAACTGTTTGGAAAAAGCTTATTGACATCAATTGAAAGGCGCTGGACACATAATATACACACTCTTCTTCAAGCCTGTTTACAGTACTTGGACCTTTCGGTAAAATGGGCACATTCTGCACAGGAACTGAAAAGAGTAACTCCTCACTGGAAAATAGCGTTTCAAAAACACTGCTTCAGGAAAAAAAGAAATGCCCGAGTAGAGTTAGAAATGCGCAACTCGGATATCCTTTCAGTAACGGTCCGATCACACCGAGGGAAGTGGTGTGAAAGAAAGAAGGATTCGGCCATTGGCCAACCGGACGTAAGGGCAGGAACATCGACTTAGAAACTCCTGCTCTCCTAGAAAAAAAAATGTTAGCGGTCTAGATAGTGGTACAAAGAAGTTAAATAACCACGAAGACGGGACAGCAGAGGCCACATGGCTCGTGTACGACGCAGCAGGCCCACAGAAGCACAACGATTATGCCAAAGCACATGCTGGCCCACTGCTAAGAGGAGGAGGGCAAAGCGTCATCGAGGATAGCGGCGGCCCAAGACGTAGTGTACGATGCCCAAAGTGCGAAAGCCATGGTGCACCAGACGCCAAAATGATCGTGCAACGCGGCAGTTCGTAAAAACGCGGGAGTTCGTCTCTACCTCTCTTTAGTTGGGTTACTTGGAACTGGCCACCACGCCCCAACGTTGGAGATGATCCCTGGTCGGAAGAACCTCCCATTCTCGACGCCACTCGGGGTCCTTCACGGGTTCAGGAATACGGCGGAAAAGCAAAGAGTCCCACGAAAAAGTGCTCGCCCGTCCTTGCTCATCAGCTGTGATCCGCGTCAAGCAGGCCTCCTCGATTATACGAGCCAGTGGCTCGTCGCGCACCCTTAGGCCTGGCACCACTCTTCTTAAATCTCCTTAAAAAGTCACCACCGTTCGGTAGAAAGGAACTGTAATCTCAGCGCTCTGGTAGAGGTTGCCAAGGGCCCAAGGTAGGAGCCTTCGACGCGAGGGACCCAAGATATACAAGGCCAAACTGCGCGCCGGTTGTTCTGTGTCGCAGAGTACCCCGAAGATGGTGGGGAGCGTGAGTAGTCGCGACATGGCGTCGAAACGAGGCAATCTCATTCCTCCGAGTGACGTCGAGAGACTGAGGACGGCTCTGGTCACGAGGTCCGCGTTCTGGCTCTAGTAAAACCTAAAAAGGCAGGTCGTTACACGCCGGCAGTACAGCGGTATAGGGAGGCGGACATGGGCAGTATAGAAACGATGTCCGCAATAAACTGCTCTCACAAGATACGCTCGGTATCGAAGCGACAACGCAAACGTTTCCGCCACCTAAACTTGGCGCTGGAGCGTGAAGATTATGGTCTCCCAAGTGAATAATGACGCTCCAAAACAGTAAAAAAAAAAAAAAAAAAAAAAAAAAAAACCCAAGGACACGAACCACGGTTACAGTTTGAATGTCATCGTGTAAGGAGGGAGGGGAGGATATAAACTCAAGAGCTTGGCCTTTGGAGGTGTTTCAACGCGTTCCCGAAAGGAAACCGTACTTGAGAAAAGCTGTGTAGCGGACTCAAAGCTATGTGAGCCACGCAAAAACAAACTGACGTCGTCGGCGTACGTGCTAACCGCGACATCACCGTGCCCAGGTAACGAAAAGCCGCGTATGCTGGATCAAGACTCAAGGCGTCGGAGGAGAGGATCCAGACTTAGGACAGGAAGCAGAAGACACTGGGGGAAACCCTGGCGCACTCCCATTTTCACGGAAAAGGAAGTAAGGATCCGCCATTTACTTAAAGATGGCTAGTCAGCCCGCTGCACAGAGATCAGAGCAAAGCCATAAAGCTGTCAGGACACTCAAAAACCTTCGAAACATCAAACAAAAAACAGTGCTCGACTCGATCGAAGGCCTCAGCCTGATCGAGGGTGACGAAGCACCCTGGGAAGTGTGTAAATTTGGGGTACAAACAATTATTGCGCGTGAGGGACAGGGACGAGAAGATGTCACCGCCGGTTACGGAACACGTCTGCCCTGTTCTTGCATGGGGCAAAATGACGCGCCAATGGGAGACCAGCACCGATGTCGCCAAGATGTATTCTGCCTTCAAACGTATTATGTGCCCCTACGCTGAAGGGTCCGACGGCAAGCCACCTTCCTTGGGGACGTCTAGATAAATAATCCAGTTGGCTGAGTTTGAGACGCTCCCTTCTGTGTCTGTTAAATCGACTAAATGTTTTTTTTTTTCATTTTATGCAACACAGTGTCACCTGTTAAACGACATGATTAGATAGAACGAACTCACCTGCGCACTTACAGCTTTTTATACTAATAAGTGACAGGTCTTAATCATTATCAACTAATTAGTGAATTTTTGAAACGCGGTCTGAGGAGATAAAGATGACGAAGTTGTTTTTTGTAGTTGCTATGCTAAAATCTTATTTCGGATTAACTTCATTTGACAGTGCGCTCTGTCCTGTTTCCCGTCCTCTTAGCCCTCGTAAATTTCCTTGCTCTTTTTTTCCTTTTAAAATAATGCAGATTTGTCTAGACATAAGGGGCGAGTGCCCCTCTTACAGTGTCCCACTTTTGTTAACTATACTGCACTCTACCATGTACAAAACAGCATTGGGCTGAAAATGTTATGAATTATAGAATGTACATTTCTCAAAACACCATATGTGGCTATCGCTGCGCATGTTTCGCAATATGTGCACCGCAAAATAAAGTTCGTTTTTAGACAAGTGCCTTCGTGATACCGCTTTTATTTCAAGTATTTTGGATTTGGAACCCCTCCTCCAGCCTATATATCCTGCAAGAAACGCGACACTAAGGCAGATTTCGCCAAGCCACTCTGGTATAAAATGGCAGGTCGCTCACGGTACTGGCACGTGCATCACACGGGGCGGCAACAAACTCTTCACAAAAGCTCTGCAGATATTGGACAGGGAGTTCGCTTAAAGTATATATGTTAACATTGCCTTAGAGGTATCATCTTTTCGCGTGTAACTACACTTGTGCGAAATACAACAAACTAAACTTTTATTTTCGCACAGAAAGCTACACAATGACCTGAAGAAATAATCCATTTTTTAAGAAATCGGGTGGGCTGCAGTGGAAAATATATTCTTACCCGAAATGAAGACCATACAGATTTTATTTCATGCATTAATTTAGAGAAGAAAGGTAAAAAAAAAACAGAGGCAAGCTGTTATGTCCGTTTTTTTATTATTGTGTCGGGGTTACTATGAATACATTTCTATCCTGATTAAACGTGTGCTCACGCAAAAAAAGAGGCCTGAATTATATGCTTTCTTTTAGGACAATACACAGAAGTGAGTAAACATGTTACTTTGTTGAGGTGAGCAAGCCCAAACCAAAGATGACTATTTGTCTGCATAAAGAAGAGCGACATATCCACCACCGCTTCGTCTCTCATAATGATTCCAGTACTCAGCTCGCGCTTGTACTCCGCTCGACTTCGTGTGAGAAAAATTAAACCCGAAAGCGTTCCTTGTGTTGTTTCATCATACGTGTGCCCAGGCAGCGCATGAGCTGCGGTTCTTTCCTCATCATTGCTAACGCCACCATGCTGATACCCAGCCCCCGCCAGCGTTTGCCCCAGGCTGTCTGTCTGAACGGCCCTGGTTGGGGCCGCTTCCTCCTGCCTGTTGATGTGCCTGTTGTGATCCCGGGCCTTTGCCGCCGTTTGCTCCAGGCTGTCTGTCCGAACGGCCCTGGTTGGGGCGGCTTCCTCCTGCCTGTTGGTTGGCCTGTTGTGATCCCGGTCCTCCGCCGCCGTTTGATGTAGGCTGTCTGTCCGAACGACCCTGGTTGGGGCCGCTTCCTCCCGCCTGTTGATTGCCCTGTTGTGATCCCGAGCCTCCGCCACCATTTGCTCCAGGCTGTCTGTCCGAACGGCCCTGGTTGGGTCCGCTTCCTCCTGCCTGCTGATTGGCCTGTTGTGATCCCGGGCCTCTGGCACCGTTTGCTCCAGGCTGTCTGTCCGAACGTCCCTGGTTGGGGCCGCTTCCTCCAGCCTGTTGATTGGCCTGTTGTGATCCCGGGCCTCTGGCACCGTTTGCTCCAGGCTGTCTGTCCGAACGGCCCTGGTTGGGGCCGCTTCCTCCCGCCTGTTGATTGCCCTGTTGTGATCCCGGCCCTCCGCCTCCGTTTGTCCCAGGCTGTCTGTCCGAACGGCCCTGGTTGGGTCCGCTTCCTCCTGCCTGTTGATTGGCCTGTTGTGATCCCGGGCCTTTGCCTCCGTTTGCTCCAGGCTGTCTGTCCGAACGGCCCTGGTTGGGTCCGCTTCCTCCTGCCTGCTGATTGGCCTGTTGTGATCCCGGGCCTCTGGCACCGTTTGCTCCAGGCTGTCTGTCCGAACGTCCCTGGTTGGGGCCGCTTCCTCCAGCCTGTTGATTGGCCTGTTGTGATCCCGGGCCTCTGGCACCGTTTGCTCCAGGCTGTCTGTCCGAACGGCCCTGGTTGGGGCCGCTTCCTCCCGCCTGTTGATTGCCCTGTTGTGATCCCGGCCCTCCGCCTCCGTTTGTCCCAGGCTGTCTGTCCGAACGGCCCTGGTTGGGTCCGCTTCCTCCTGCCTGTTGATTGGCCTGTTGTGATCCCGGGCCTTTGCCTCCGTTTGCTCCAGGCTGTCTGTCCGAACGGCCCTGGTTGGGTCCGCTTCCTCCTGCCTGTTGATTGGCCTGTTGTGATCCCGGGCCTCCGCCGCCGTTTGCTCCAGGCTGTCTGTCCGAACGGCCCTGGTTGGGGCCGCTTCCTCCCGCCTGTTGATTACCCTGTTGTGATCCCGGGCCTCCGCCGCCGTTTGCTCCAGGCTGTCGGTCCGAACGGCTCTGGATAGGACCGCTTCCTCCTGCCTGTTGTGATCCCGGGCCTTTGCCTCCGTTTGCTCCAGGCTGTCTGTCCGAACGGCCCTGGTTGGGTCCGCTTCCTCCTGCCTGTTGATTGGCCTGTTGTGATCCCGGGCCTCTGGCACCGTTTGCTCCAGGCTGTCTGTCCGAACGGCCCTGGTTGGGGCCGCTTCCTCCCGCCTGTTGATTACCCTGTTGTGATCCCGGGCCTCCGCCGCCGTTTGCTCCAGGCTGTCTGTCCGAACGGCCCTGGTTGGGGCCGCTTCCTCCTGCCTGTTGATTGGCCTGTTGTGATCCCGGGCCTCCGCCGCCGTTTGCTCCAGGCTGTCTGTCCGAACGGCCCTGGTTGGGGCCGCTTCCTCCTGCCTGTTGATTGGCCTGTTGTGATCCCGGTCCCCTGGCACCGTTTGCTCCAGGCTGTCTGTCCGAACGGCCCTGGTTGGGGCCGCTTCCTCCCGCCTGTTGATTGCCCTGTTGTGATCCCGGGCCTCTGGCACCGTTTGCTCCAGGCTGTCTGTCCGAACGTCCCTGGTTGGGGCCGCTTCCTCCCGCCTGTTGATTGCCCTGTTGTGATCCCGGGCCTCTGGCACCGTTTGCTCCAGGCTGTCTGTCCGAACGGCCCTGGTTGGGGCCGCTTCCTCCCGCCTGTTGATTGCCCTGTTGTGATCCCGGCCCTCCGCCTCCGTTTGTCCCAGGCTGTCTGTCCGAACGGCCCTGGTTGGGTCCGCTTCCTCCTGCCTGTTGATTGGCCTGTTGTGATCCCGGGCCTCCGCCGCCGTTTGCTCCAGGCTGTCTGTCCGAACGGCCCTGGTTGGGGCCGCTTCCTCCCGCCTGTTGATTACCCTGTTGTGATCCCGGGCCTCCGCCGCCGTTTGCTCCAGGCTGTCGGTCCGAACGGCTCTGGATAGGACCGCTTCCTCCTGCCTGTTGTGATCCCGGGCCTCCGACGCCGTTTGCTCCAGGCTGTCTGTCCGAACGGCCCTGGTTCGGGCCGCTTCCTCCCGCCTGTTGATTGGCCTGTTGTGATCCCGGTCCCCTGGCACCGTTTGCTCCAGGCTGTCTGTCCGAACGGCCCTGGTTGGGGCCGCTTCCTCCCGCCTGTTGATTGCCCTGTTGTGATCCCGGGCCTCTGGCACCGTTTGCTCCAGGCTGTCTGTCCGAACGGCCCTGGTTGGGGCCGCTTCCTCCCGCCTGTTGATTGCCCTGTTGTGATCCCGGGCCTCCGCCGCCGTTTGCTCCAGGCTGTCTGTCCGAACGGCCCTGGTTGGGTCCGCTTCCTCCTGCCTGTTGATTGGCCTGTTGTGATCCCGGGCCTCCGCCGCCGTTTGCTCCAGGCTGTCTGTCCGAACGGCCCTGGTTGGGGCCGCTTCCTCCCGCCTGTTGATTACCCTGTTGTGATCCCGGGCCTCCGCCGCCGTTTGCTCCAGGCTGTCGGTCCGAACGTCCCTGGTTGGGGCCGCTTCCTCCTGCTTGTTGATTGGCCTGTTGTGATCCCGGTCCCCTGGCACCGTTTGCTCCAGGCTGTCTGTCCGAACGGCCCTGGTTGGGGCCGCTTCCTCCCGCCTGTTGATTGCCCTGTTGTGATCCCGGGCCTCTGGCACCGTTTGCTCCAGGCTGTCTGTCCGAACGGCCCTGGTTGGGGCCGCTTCCTCCCGCCTGTTGATTGCCCTGTTGTGATCCCGGGCCTCCGCCGCCGTTTGCTCCAGGCTGTCTGTCCGAACGGCCCTGGTTGGGGCCGCTTCCTCCCGCCTGTTGATTGGCCTGTTGTGATCCCGGGCCTCCGCCGCCGTTTGCTCCAGGCTGTCTGTCCGAACGGCCCTGGTTGGGGCCGCTTCCTCCCGCCTGTTGATTGGCCTGTTGTGATCCCGGGCCTCCACCGCCGTTAGCTCCAGGCTGTCTGTCCGAACGGCCCCGGATAGGGCCGCTTCCTCCTGCCTGTTGATTGGCCTGTTGTGATCCCGGGCCTCCGCCGCCGTTTGCTCCAGGCTGTCTGTCCGAACGGCCCTGGTTGGGGCCGCTTTCTCCCGCCTGTTGATTGGCCTGTTGTGATCCCGGGCCTCCGCCGCCGTTTGCTCCAGGCTGTCTGTCCGAACGGCCCCGGATAGGGCCGCTTCCTCCTGCCTGTTGATTGGCCTGTTGTGATCCCGGGCCTCCACCGCCGTTAGCTCCAGGCTGTCTGTCCGAACGGCCCTGGTTGGTGCCGCTTCCTCCCGCCTGTTGATTGGCCTGTTGTGATCCCGGGCCTCCGCCGCCGTTTGCTCCAGGCTGTCTGTCCGAACGGCCCTGGTTGGGGCCGCTTCCTCCCGCCTGTTGATTGGCCTGTTGTGATCCCGGGCCTCCGCCGCCGTTTGCTCCAGGCTGTCTGTCCGAACGGCCCTGGTTGGGGCCGCTTCCTCCCGCCTGTTGATTGGCCTGTTGTGATCCCGGACCTCCGCCGCCGTTTGCTCCAGGCTGTCTGTCCGAACGGCCCTGGTTGGGGCCGCTTCCTCCCGCCTGTTGATTGGCCTGTTGTGATCCCGGGCCTCCACCGCCGTTAGCTCCAGGCTGTCTGTCCGAACGGCCCTGGTTGGGGCCGCTTCCTCCCGCCTGTTGATTGGCCTGTTGTGATCCCGGGCCTCCGCCGCCGTTTGCTCCAGGCTGTCTGTCCGAACGGCCCTGGTTGGGGCCGCTTCCTCCCGCCTGTTGATTGGCCTGTTGTGATCCCGGGCCTCCGCCGCCGTTTGCTCCAGGCTGTCTGTCCGAACGGCCCTGGTTGGGGCCGCTTCCTCCCGCCTGTTGATTGGCCTGTTGTGATCCCGGGCCTCCGCTGCCGTTTGCTCCAGGCTGTCTGTCCGAACGGCCCTGGTTGGGGCCGCTTCCTCCCGCCTGTTGATTGGCCTGCTGTGATCCCGGGCCTCCACCGCCGTTAGCTCCAGGCTGTCTGTCCGAACGGCCCTGGTTGGGGCCGCTTCCTCCCGCCTGTTGATTGGCCTGTTGTGATCCCGGGCCTCCGCCGCCGTTTGCTCCAGGCTGTCTGTCCGAACGGCCCTGGATAGGACCGCTTCCTCCTGCCTGTTGATTGGCCTGTTGTGATCCCGGGCCTCCGCCGCCGTTTGCTCCAGGCTGTCTGTCCGAACGGCCCCGGATAGGGCCGCTTCCTCCTGCCTGTTGATTGGCCTGTTGTGATCCCGGGCCTCCGCCGCCGTTTGCTCCAGGCTGTCTGTCCGAACGGCCCTGGTTGGGGCCGCTTCCTCCCGCCTGTTGATTGGCCTGCTGTGATCCCGGGCCTCCACCGCCGTTAGCTCCAGGCTGTCTGTCCGAACGGCCCTGGTTGGGGCCGCTTCCTCCCGCCTGTTGATTGGCCTGTTGTGATCCCGGGCCTCCGCCGCCGTTTGCTCCAGGCTGTCTGTCCGAACGGCCCTGGATAGGACCGCTTCCTCCTGCCTGTTGATTGGCCTGTTGTGATCCCGGGCCTCCGCCGCCGTTTGCTCCAGGCTGTCTGTCCGAACGGCCCTGGATAGGACCGCTTCCTCCTGCCTGTTGATTGGCCTGTTGTGATCCCGGGCCTCCGCCGCCGTTTGCTCCAGGCTGTCTGTCCGAACGGCCCCGGATAGGGCCGCTTCCTCCTGCCTGTTGATTGGCCTGTTGTGATCCCGGGCCTCCGCCGCCGTTTGCTCCAGGCTGTCTGTCCGAACGGCCCTGGGCAAACCGCTGGGATTTCCCTTTCTTGGCCTCAACACTAGCCACGGTGTTGAGAATGAGGGTCAGGGCTGAAAAAAGTAAATGTATACGTCAAAGTCAACTCACGTGAACTATACAGCGGGCATTTTCTGTACAATCTTTGTCTTTTCTTTTTAATTGAGACGTTACAAGCCCCCGTCCGCATATTTACTATAGTCACTAAGATCTTTAAAAACACATGACTTATTATGTTCATGCTTCTTCCTTCGTCATTCGTGCCCAGAATTCTTATTGGCTAACGCTCCGATCTCATTGGCTGCGAAACCACTATTCATACACTCGGAAGTTCCCACGCCCATTAAATCTTGAGTTTTAAATGACATAGCATGTGTTCAGTTCGGAGTAACATTTACTATCTTTCCCTAAATGTGGTCGACATCACTATAAGGCGGAGTGAACAAGCGCGCTGCCCATGATAAGACAGCAAAACGCGAAAGTTGTGTAGGGTGTCTCCCCAAAAAAGCTTAGATAGGTATTTTTTTCACCACAAAAATAAACTCTATATCGCCGAACGCTCATTCGCCAACCAAATGTAGCTCTCTCGCTCCTAACCAAACCAGCACTAACCGCTTCCTTATTCAAAGTTATGTCTATTTTTATTTACATTTCCAGTATAAAATAGGCGGTTGTCAAAACTCTAGACTTCAGAGAGCTCTATCGCAGCGCTTATAAAAAAACCGTCTGAAAATTGGCGCCATTTTTCTATTACTAGTTTCTAAATCTTAATTTTAAGTTTGAATAAATGAACGGTTAGGGCTTAAATTGTGGCATCTGGGTCGGTCCTCTAGCGCTAATTTAGGCGGAGGATACACTCCAGCCTATGCGTAGTTCATTTTGAAGCAAAACAAAGAAACTGTAAACTTTTTTTTTGCGTGTGTCGCGTGGTGGTAAGGATCAGGAAAGGGGGGGGGGGGCATATTCGATAGACGCCCTAGGGACTGAAACAGGTCGTGTGGTTGTTTGTGACGTAAAGAGAGACTGGAACGAGACGGTTGCAAACTTGAGGTATAAGGATGATGCACGGTGCTGCTGTCAAGTTGGAGACGTTTACAGCATTATTACTGTTCTTCTTGCACAATTGGAAACCTCCTTCTTCCCAGATTCCTAGTCAGTTCTAACACGTGGGGACCTTAGGCGCCACCATAAGAATGATCCGAGCATCTACGGTACTACACCTCGGGTTGGACACAAGTCGCAAGGGACTGCAGTGCGTTTAATACTCGCCGCATTCAAATATGCAAAAAAAAAAGTATCCTGAATTGAAAATTTGATAGAAGTGTTGTAGCCTTTTTTTTTTTCTTTTTCTTAAAGTGCAGGTCTTAGGCGCCCGTTTCCGGCTTGAGCGGCGTCGGCGTCGGCGTAACCGCGCTTTGCATTATGGGATGTCTTCCATATTGACGTCACACGTGACGTCACATGTGACGTCACGAGGGTCACGAGTGACGCCACTGATGGCGTCATCGCGCGTTGCATTATGGGTAATATTCCTCGGTAATTTTAGTGGAAAAAATTCCCCGCTCAATTTAGCGGGAAAAATTTCCCGCTGAATTTAGAAAAAAAAACTTTGGCGATAAATTTAGCGGAAAATATTTTCCACTACAATTAGCAGAAAAATTCTCTTTAAATTTACCGGAAAAATACTTCTCGCTAAATCTATCGGGAAAATTGTACTGGTAATTTTAGCGGACAACTTTCCCCGCTAAATTTAGCGGAAATATTCCCTTCTAGATGTGGCGAAAAACTTTTCCCGCTAAATTCAGCGGAAACGGTTCCCCGCTAAACTTAGCGGAAAAAATCACCGCTATTTTTAATGAAAAAAATTTTTTCGGTAGCTTTAGCGGCAAATTTAGTGAAAATTTTACGCTAAATGGGAGGGGAGCAGGAGAGGAGGAAGGAAGGGTACGGATGGGGAGGAGGGGCCTATACTCCTCTCCGTACCTTCCCCTCCTCCTCAAGAGCTGCGCTCTAATTCGGCGTTAGTGGGGATTGTAAACGTCTTTAATTTTTTTTAATATGTTGCTATTGGATTTATGTAAATCGATAATATTGTTTTGCTGAAATCGCTTTCGGTTTACGAGGACCGTTTAGTACAACGAAGTTAGAACGGTTTTCGGATATTTTGTCACGCATCTCCACCAATACTTTCTCTCGCATCTTTATTTCTGCACTTACCTAGTGCAACGCCCAATAACCTTCGAGCACCCCGCATCTTGGGAGCGAAGTGTACGGCTCCTATGAGAAAACTTGACAAGCTGGAATTGCAAATTTCAGACATGAGGAAAAAATGCTAGCCGGAAGCTCATTTCTGATCAATCCGTTTAAATGCAATAAAGAACCGGCTGCCACTGTCAAAGGTTACACACATGATTGACGAAAACGCCCGCAGGTGGGGCGCAACAAGATAAGGATGTCCGCGTCTTGATTTCAGAGATTCCCCGTGCGGAGAGCGTGCAACAAATTTAACTTCTAGGTGGACTTCTTTTAACCTCCGGCAATTAGGGAAGATAGGATCGAATCTAGCAATCAACAGTGCCGAATTTTGTCGAATCCTGCGGTATTGTACATTTTACCATGGGGGACATTTTGCTGCGAATCTGCCTGGTTACCAAAAGATTGACCAACATAATTTTCTCTTCCAATAACGCAATGTTTAAAGATGTTAGAACACTAAGGTACATATTCCAAAAAAGGCTTAAGGGAACCTTAAAATGCTCTTCTTACGTTAAGCTGATTTATAACATCTTTCTCAACAAAGCTGTCTCCACCTCCAGCAACTGAAGGAAGTGAAGGGAATAGCTTATAATCTTCAGACTTCCCTCTCCGTGGTTCGGTCCCCTGGACTCTTAATTGTAAATTAAGCATTGTCGCTTGGTCGTACGGGCCAGAATAATTAAGGTGGAAAATGAAGGTAATAGAAGACGTTGCTTTACAACATGGAGCCATTTCATTCTTCAAACCGCACCACTCTGCGTGAACAGGCAATAAACCAGCATGTCTGAGCTAGTGGAGACTCGAGCCACATCATACAAACAAGTACTATACCATAGCTATAGCGAAAAATCGAAATGAAATTAATGTGGCAAAATATTACCTCTTTCTATGTTACCTTAGAAAGACCGCTGAACCGCTTGTGAGAAGTCAGCCGGCGCACACTGACTTCGAAGCCTCAGGGTCCTTCTTTTATAGCTCCTGGAAAAGTATGAACTCGTAAACATTTGAACCGGCTACAGACCTTTTGAGTGCATCATCACTATAAAAAAAATACTGAGACGGTAACTAACGGCCGGAAATTGCTCGTTTCCCGACATCAAAACAGATCAAAACAGTATCCAAACATTTTTTTCACCGTTAAAAGCTTTTTTTTTTTGGCAATAACAAGGTCTTTTTTCATTCGAAAATAAAATGAAATATACTGTTATACCTACTCGGTACTTTAGAATGGACCGAGTTGGACGAACCTAGGAGCAATCCTATTTTATGGCCGGGGTGGAAGCGAACAGTTTAATCTAGTCGAGGGACCCTACTATTAATCACATTTAGAATTCTCCGCTATTATTATTCCACTGGAACCATAAAAAAAAGTCATAAATTGACGTAGAAAAATTTTACGTTCCGACTGCAAAACATTATTAATGCTGCTTTTGTCCCATAGGGCGTTCGTAGCAAAAAGTCATAAAAAAAGAGAAGGGGGCTGGTATGAACATGACTCAGCAACAAAAATTGCAGGAAAAAATGCACAAAGGCCGTGACGCAGCAATGACTTGTCTAAGTTTTTTTAAAACTTTTATTTATTATTTAGAGGGTCAATTGCGAATCTATGTAGTTGGAGGATCACATAAAGGGAAGTAATATGGTGCTCATATGTCCGTTGAATTTTTGAACGTTTTAGTTTGTTGATACTTTCTATGCCTACACGAAAGCCATAGAAAATATGAAGAACGTTTTTGCTGAGCTCGGGGTGCGTACGCATCATAAATAAATATTAAAATTGAGGAACAAGAAGTGCAGTATTCACTTCACCTAATTTTCTGGTTTGTAAGCTAGTGGTAGCAATCGGTTATCCTGGGTTTATAAATGTCCTCGCCTTGTTTTATTATCGCAGATTTCACCGGTGTAAACTTCAGATGCATCAAAGTATATACTTCTTTTATAGAATGGAGCTCAATCTGTGCAGAGGCGTTAAGTGCACGTTGACATATGCATTCCATGACATGGGTGCGGCAATGTCGTTACTGCGTGAGAAAATGCAGTCCTTCACAATTTTGTTCTAACATGTTGCACATTTTTGGCTATTGGCAACTCATGTT